AACTGCCGGTAAACAACAAATTTCCTATAGTGCATAATGCCATCTAGGTTGTGGTAGACTATCTGATAAAGTTAGCTCATTTTTTTCTAATTTGACGGTCTAATTCGATGGATAGATTGGCATAAGTATATCTGCATGAGATTATTCCATTACATGAGATACTGAAAGTTATAGTTTCCGACAGAGATAATAAGTTCACCTCTAGATTATGGAGGGATATTTAACAAGAACTAGACACTAAATTACATTTTAGTGCAACTTTTTATTTGCAGACTGATGGAGTCTGAGAGGACTATAAAGGTATTAGAATACCTTTGAGGTGATATGTTTTGCATTTTGTTGGTAGTTAGAAAGGTTTTATTCCTCTGATTGAATTTACATATAATAACACTTTCAATCAATTATAGGTATAGCCCCATACAAAGCTTTATACAATAGGAAATTAGAACCTCACTATCTTGGACACATGTGGGTGAAAGAAGTCTTATTGAGCTAGCATTAGTTGATAATACTACTAAATATATCTGTCTAATTAAGTCTAGATTAAAAGTTGTGTAAGATAGATGCAAATCATACTATATATGATGCTAAGTACAGAACAATAGAGTTTTAATTGAGAGACTTTGTATATGTGTAAATTAGGTCAATGAAAGGCATTAACATGTTTAAAAAAGAAGGAAAATTGAGTCCAAGATGCATTGGATAATTTGAAATAACTAAAAGGATTGGAAAATCTTCCTACATATTGTAATTGGTAGATCACATGTATGGCATTCACAATGCATTTCACGTGTCGCTTCTGAAGAAATAGGTATCTAATTCTAAAATGCAACTATCTATAGAAGAAGTTGAGGTAAGTTCAAATATAGTTATAAAGAGGAACCAAAAAGGATTGTAGCATATGATGTAAAAAAGCTTAAGAAATAAACAGACTTCAATAGTTAAGATTTAGTGGAAGAACATAATAAAAATAAAAACAAATTTAAAGAAAGAGTCTAAGATGAGGCAATTACATCCTGATCTATTTCGATGATCTGAGCTTTAAAAGGTTGAGGATGATATTTTTTGAGGAGAGAAGAATTGTAACACCTACATATTAGTACATTGTTCCACCTATTATGATACAATCTAATTCAAGATAATCCACATATTTTCTACATTAAATCCTTATGCATGTGTTCGAGAATGTTTTATATGCATATGAAACTATACATATGTTCTAATGTAGGTCTCGGGGGATCTGTTTGCATGTTCTAAAAATATAAAAAAATTTTCCTGGGGCATCAACACATTAGGGTAGGCAGCGCCACAATATTAGGGTAGACGAGGTAGTAATGTTGAGCTCTTTATATTTTATTCCAATTTAATTTAATTCTATGACACTAGGGGTGGCAGTAAAACACTATGGGCTCCTAGAGGGGCACTGCAACTCACAAGATCTAGTGTTGGAACTCAACAAAATTTTAATATTAAAAATATCATTTTCCATTAAATCCAATCATTTTATACATTTGGGTTTGTTGGATAGAAAGAGAGAGAAAAATATTTTTAGAGAGGGAAAGTTGGGTTTGGATGACTTCGGTCCGTTTTCCACTAAAGGCCCAATGAATGTTATACGGTTCAAGGTAATTTGCATTTTTTATATCTCAATTTTTCAAAACAAGAAAATTTCTAGATTTTTTATTTAATTTTTATTTATGTAGTTTAAAAATAAGGATAACTTTACACCTGCAAAACTTTTACCATGTAATTTTTTAGATGTTATAGAGATAACGATTCTTGATATTTAGGTATTTTTAAAAAAAAAAAAATCTTTAATGGGGATTGTTAGATAGTGCACTACTTTAATTATCTAATTAAAAATAACTCTAACCCTATAAAATAATGTTGTATTATAATTAATGCTTCAAAATAATGCCTGAACAATCTCTGCCAAATTGGTTATGTTCCAAAATAGTGTATTTTTGGTTAGTAGTATATTCCAATACTTATTATTAAAATATTTAGTTAAATTCTGAAATGAATTTATTTAATTTTTTTTTAGTACAATGTAATGAATTATATGCTTATTTACTTGAAATGTATGATTTTGAGGAGATTTAGTGTATATAAAGGAAGTTATGTTCTTATGTTAAAGACACATGAAGTTTTATTCTGGTGTTACATGCATATTATATTATGGTGCTAGGCATTGAGAGTCATAAGAGTCTATTTTTTGATATACAAACATGAGAATCATAAATGCTATAATTCTTTGAATTTTATTTTGATGAGAGGTATAAGGGCTTGAGAGAATTTTATTATTTTTTACTTTGATATATAAAATACTTATTTATTTACTTTCCCAAAATTGTTATTTACATTTTTTATAACTATAAGCACTATTATGATATCTGGTTTTGTATAGTAATTGCATTTATTAACTATTTTTAGATCCAATAAAATAATTTAAAATTTTATATTGATAAGTGCGATCTACTGAGTTGTGATGGCTTACAATTTATTTGTATTTTGTTTTAGGATCTGGAAAAGGGAAATAGTTTGTTAAGTAGTTGAGTTAGGATTTGATTTACCTAAGTTTGTACAGGGATTTCTCTCTTTATTCATCTTCTCAAAATGCACTCCTAGTCATAACTCCTTGAGATAAATCTCCTATAATAAATTCCTTAGTATGACCAAAGGAATCTCTCCACTCAGATAATTCAGGTATAAGATGAACCTCACCAGTAGTTACAAGTGGATCTAATCTTAGGTTTTTTAACATATCAGTCTCCATGTCATTCATATCCTTCATCTTAGGTAATCTTAGATCTTCTTCTTTTTTTCAAAAGTCACATGTATTAACTTTTCAACTACTAGGCACGTCTCGTTGAATACTCCAAAAGACTCATTATAATTTGAATATCTTAAGAAAACTCATTCATCATATATCATATCAAATTTTATCAAACTCTCCTTTTTATTTTTCAAGTTGAAATATTTACAACCAAGTACATGAAAGTATGATACATTAGGCTTCTTTTCTCTTAGAATCATTTCTTTGTTTTTGACTATCCACACTTTGAGGTATGAGACTAAGCAAGAGTAGCACACTCCTTCAAAAGGAATGTCAAGTGGCTTGTTGACTAGCCATGGGTGGCTTTCCTTGTCCTTAGGTGATATATTATATAATTTGTTTATTAATGTTATCATGATTCATACTCCACCATTCTATTTTCTTTGGCTTAGGGCTTTTTTCAAGTAAAATTATTTGTGCATTGTGTTTCTTGCTTTTGGCTTGTAGCATGCATATTTTAATAATTTATGTATATTTTTATTTATAGCTCTTTGATAAGTGTGTTACTTTCAATTGCTTATCAGCTCTGTGAAGCCATGATGATCTTATTCTAACGCAAATATGTAATTATAGCTTACATTAAAGCTAATATAATTAATATATCATTTAGATTGATTTTCTTATTGTTCTTAAAGCAATTTTTTTAGTAAAAAAAATTAATTTTTTTTAATTATTTGGTCAGGATATTATTGATTCCCATTATAGAATTTGATTATATGCTATGATCAATATCAATGGCATTAATGCAGAGGTGATGCTATGATCAATATCAATGGCATTAATGCAGAGGTGATGCATGGGCAGGTAAATATTTATTTCTTTAATTCCTTTTCTAATATATATATATATTACCTTCAGTTTTTCTATAAATGAAAGTGATCAATGCTATGATTCCTTTGTAGTGGGAAGTCCAAGAAAATTGTGTTTCAGAATTCTTTGCTTTGCTTCTTTAAATTTTCTTATTGTTACTTAATAGCATGAAATTCACGAGAGAGAATGGAGGGTATGAGATCATAAAGAAAGTCATTTAAAAATTTAGGTTTCATTTGAGATATCTTTCTTGCTGCTTCTTAAAGTAAATTTTTAGCACAAAAATTGATAAAAAATTTTAATTTTTGCGCTAAAAAACTACTTTAAAAAAATACTAAGAAATTCGTCCCAAATAAAGCCTTTGCCTTAGACAAAAAAAAAAGTTTTTTCTTATAGTGAAGGCAACGAGCGACGACTAATAGCTGAGAAATTATTCTGTGTGAAGTTCGAAAGGGAAGGAAAGTTTGCACTATGAGTGTACACACTATGTACAAGCAATGTGTACATTGATTTGATACACATTATGTACATATATAAATAATGTGTATACTCATAGGCTGTCAATATTTCACACGACACGAAAACCCGACCGACCCAGAAAATTCGGGTTGGACCCGACCCGATTTCAAAACGGGTCGGTTTGGGTTCCTGGATTCGACCTGTTTGAAAAAAATGGGTCGGTTCGGGTTGACCCGACGGGTTGGCGGGTCAACTCGGAAACCCGCTTAGAATGAGCTGCCCGAGCCTGCCCCTGCTACCAGCGCCTTCTCGCGGTTGCCCGCGAGATCGCCAATGCTGCCCGCGCTGCACAACTACCGCTGCCCGCTCGCAAGTTGCACCTGCGCTGCCTGCGGCCCCGCACGCGCCCGCCGCGCCTGCCTTGCCCGCTCGTCGCGCGCCCGCCGCTAGCCCGCCGCTCCCATCCTACCATCGCGTGCTCCCCCGCATCGGCGCACCCGCCGAGTGCCCGAGTCTGCCATGCGCCCCGCGTCGAGCTCAGGTCCCGTGTCGGATCAACCCGATTGAACCTAGGTCACAGGTCGGGTTCGACCTAAACCCGACCTGTGACCCCCGAAAAGGATTCTCCTAATACTCATATATTCGAATGGTTCTTCACGTCCAAACTTGACACATAATAATTTCTAGTAATAGAGAGGCATGAAACTGGTTATATAAAAACTTTCTCCTATTATGTTCCTAAAAATTTTATGAAGTAAAATCTAAAGAAGAGCAGACGTGGTTTCAACTCTTCTTGTTGTTAAACCTAACTATCAGTGTTAACATAGAAGTATATCAAAGAACGAAAAGGGAGGGCTGAGATGAGGACACGTATGCACGGATCGTCAAGCTTTGGTCTGCTCCTTTTCCGAAATTTTCCGTGTGGGAAAGGCACAGGAACAGAACAGGGTGGAATGAACCATTTCCTTCAACCTACCCACCGTTCACCGGAATTCTAATCGGACGGGGAATCGTCGGTATCTTGCGACCTGAAACTTCCTGCAAATAATCAGAATCCAATTGTTTCCGCTTGTGGCCTGTATTCCCAGTTTCGCAAGGTCTAAACTCTTCAAGGCTGTTTTTAACCCCGATCATGTTGTTTTTTCTTCCGATCTCTTGTACGATTAAGGATTACCTTTCCTAGTGTGCGAGAAAGATTCTAAGGTCCTTCTTTTCTCGCCATCCTTCCTTCTTTTTGCTTTCGGATCTCGCTAGCTTCGCAAACATCATGAGTACAGCTATTCTGTTTTGATCCGTGGTAAGATATTTGTCTCTGTTGTTTTTTTGCATTCAGAACAACGATCTTTAATATATTACCTTGTGCTATGCTTTTTGGTTAGCATTTTGCTATTGCTTTCATGAAGTGATAGTTGTTTATATTTCAGTTTGTTATTACTTGATTTCTTGTAGAATGGATGGTTTGGGGGCTGTTTGCTCATCTGTTTATGTAAGTTAAGCAAATTTATGCTAATAAGCTTTTAGAAGTAAAGTTTTTTATTTTCTTAGGCTATTTGGCTGATTTAAAAAAAAAAAAGCTCATAAAAACCTGTGAAGTTGTTTGGCGTAAATCCCAAATATTCTCTGAAATTTTAACGCAATCTCCTCTGATCATCTGTCCATGGTAGTAATAATAGGATAGGATCATTAGATCAAACACTGACATGATAGTGCTATGTCAGCAGAACTTGAGTGATGTGTCTCTGGGACATCTCTCTGGAAACTTTCTAGTTGTTCCTTCGGTTGTTGTCTCTGGAATTCCTATCATGAAGTTGTTTTGGGAGATTCACCAGGGATAACCTTGGATCCTCTTATCAATATCAGGAGCCTTCAGATCCTCTTGGCTAGTATACTTTTCTCATCCAAAGTGCTTTCTAGGAACTGTGAATCTTCCTCATCACTTCTCTTGCACAAGTCTCAACAAACATTTATGGCAATTTTTACAATATTAGGCATATTTCAACCCAATTTCAATATAGAAATTTTCTCTAGTAGCAATGCCTTTTACTCAACACTAATTTGACTCACTAATGAGATGACCTTGCCAATAGATCATCCATCTCACTAAAGTTATAGATTTCTTTGCTCATAAAGCTCCTCCATCTTTAGTGGGGGAATTCAACTTCTAGAAGTTTCATCTCCTACACCTAATGCTGCTACCATACCCAGAATAACTCACCAATGATCTTGGAAGAAGTCGTTCCTCTACAGTTGAATGCACCTGAATTGGAACTGTGCAAAGGCACCACTGATACATCTAATCATTTGGATACTTTCAATGTTATAATTTTTCTATTTAATATATGTGATGCTATGATGTGCACCTCTTCGCCACCATCTTCAAAGGTACATTGCTTGCTGGTGGTTCAATCCTCTCCTTGTACATAGCATTTATTCCTTTGAGGAGTTCTCATATCTCTTCCCTTATAGATCCTTTGCTTTTAAAAAGCCATTGAAGACTTCCTAGTCTTTCTTTTGTGTAAGGAAATCTGAAAGGGAGAGCCTTAATGACTACTTTCTGTGCTTTACTAGAGCCACCCATGAAATTATGAATGGTTACAAGTTTGTCTGTAAAGCTACTTTTTTCCTAGGTCTGTGGCCTAGTAATTTCAATTTTTTGTTGCTAAGAGCTCTCTTACTACAATGGAGGCCTGGTCAAGGAAGCATTTAGGTTTAATAAGTGTTGAAAAGTTCATTTGTGAAATTAAATAGCCTGCCAAAATCACCTCCTCGTTTCTCGATAAGAAATTCTTTGAAGATAGCCGTGTTGAGTTTGCCTCATCTAGTCCCGAGAGGAAATGTCAAAATGTAGGCTTTTCTCAACAAGGGAATTACTAGTGTATGTAGTACCCAAAAAAGAGATGAAGAACTTTGTAGTTGCCAGTCGTTCCAGTTAGACTTGGGGAGTCCATTTTACTTCTTTGAGTTGGCATTAGTCTTTTTTATGGCAACCATCCAATGGAGAGTATATTTTCACTAGCTTGCTCCTATTTGGAAATAATTTGAAAAGGGGGAAGTCAAACTTTTGCTTATATCATAACGATCATGACCATAACATGGATGTCTGAAGAGTTCTGATTGCCATCTTCAAGCAGCTGATCAATGGTGCCACTTGAAGTAATTCATTGCACATTGCCCAAAGGATAATGCTTGCTAAGGAACAATAACAACAACAACATTCTACCACCAAGCCCAAGAAGGTTGCATAGATTATTAGGACCATACAAACAATTATTTGGGGAGTTCATCTTAAGACTGCCTGCTACTGCAACCTTCAACAGCTCATTGAGTTTATTTATGTTGATGAACAATATCGTTTAATGCTCGTGAATAAGCTCGTTAAGAAGCTCAATTAGAGCTCGACTAAAAAGCTTGATTAAAATTATATTAGAGTTTTAAAAAATATATATTGTTAAATTTAATATTTTATTTTTACTAATTCCATCTAAAATTGTTTAATAATTTATTTTTACTTTATGCATCCACTTAAAATCGAGAACAATGCTTTTTGAACAAATATAAGATGAGTCATAGATCGTTTGTTCGTGAACGAGCTCATTTGGTAGCTCAGAAACACTAATTAGATATATTCATGATCTGGCTCATTTGATAGCTCAAGAATACTCATTAGATATATTCATGAATGAGCTTGTTTATGAGTTTAAAAAATATCGCTAGATATATTCACGAACATGCTCGATGTAATTATTTGTTTGAATGCTCAATAAAGTTTGTTTGTTAAATTAATATACATCTAGAAGTAGAGCTCGTTTATAGTTCGATAAGGTTCGTTTGTTTAAAGTTCGATAAGCACGAAATAAACCAAATAAGAATTAAAAATGAACACCCATTAATTTAAACAAACCAAGCTTGAACCACAAACAAAAAAGCTCGAATCAAATACAAACCAAACTTGAACAAGATGATGATAAACGAACTCAAACATGAACATGTGCATACTTGACTCGGCTTGTTTCATTTGCAGCCCTAGTCAGGCTATATGACTTCCTTATTGTCAAAGCTCTTCCTACTAAAGTGCATCTTTGGCTAACTAGTCCTGAACTCATTTTATGTTTTGGTGTTGACTCGACTACTCATCATGAAGTTCTCATCCATTAATAGTGTGATCATTGTGCATGGTGATCTTCACCAAACTAGAAGATGCTACCTCGCTACTGGCAAGGAGAAAGATCCTTTGGTCTTTTCTTGTTGGGCTATTGAGATGTAAATGACAAGAACCTAATGAGATCTAGGACATCTATCTTGAGAGAGGGAATATCATGAAGAAACTTCGTGTTAGCAAGTTGCGCTTCCAAGGTAATTTCAATTATAAATTATTTCTATTATGGAGCAATTTGAGTATTTCTTTTCTAGGGACCCTTCGAGATGCATATAGTAGCCCAAGGTTTAAAATTTACATAATTAGAGGCGCACCTTCAAGCTCTTTTGAGGAAAAAAGCAATGTATACCTCACTTTTGCCAAATGAGGCATATGCTCAATGGGGATGAGACTCGCCTAGCGCTATTTTAAGGAGGCTTATGATTTTAAAGTGAGGGTTTAAATTATTTAAAAAGTTAGATTTATAAACTTAATATATAAATTTAAACCAATTTGTTATTTTGTTATTTTTTTAAACCTAAAAAGCCAAAATGAGAGATCCAAAGCCTCAAGATTCACATAAGACGAATTGGACACTACAAGAACCCTCTCGACTGCACCACCATATTGTGCTACTGGTGCACCACCGTTGTCGTTGCTTCATCGTTGTTGTTGCTTCACCGTTGCTACTCTTATTGTTGGAAATATGTTGACAAAACTAAAGATGAGGGTGGAGAGAAAGCAATTAACTATGATGATAATTTTTATAAAGTCCATCTCTAAGTGATGAAAGTTGGGGAGACTTTTGAATGATTATAAACTATTTGTTTATGTTGAATTAAGTGTAGGATCAATTTTTTATTTAGTTCTTGTAGCCTTGTTTGACTTTTTTACTTCTAATTTAATTTTTTTTGACATCTGAATTTAACGTTAAGCTTCTTATTATTTGCTAATTTAATAGTTTAATTCTAAGACTAATGCTTCAAAATATCTTGAGGCTTACACCTCACCTCACTAAAAAAATGGCTCAATATTCAACTACACAATTTCAAACTTTGGAGCAGACATAGTTGTTATAAGTCACTGCCTCAATATTGATGGCTCGAGGTCAGCCATCAAGCAAAAAAAGAGGAATTTTTCAGAGGGATGAAGGCTGTTATCAAAGTAGAGGTTGACAAGTTTCTAAAGGTCATAATCATTTGAGAGGTTCAATACCCCAATTGGCTCTCATATGTGTGAAGAAGGAAAAGTTAAAGTTAGTGGATGTGTTTAGACTTCACAAAACCCATTAATGTCTTTCCAAAAGACTTTTATTCGCTTCTCGTTATCAATGCCATGGTTGCTTTTATGGTGAATATTTCTATGCTAAGTTTCTTAGATATGTTCCCAAGATATCATTAGATCCAACTACCCACCTGGTTGAGGAGGAGAATACAAGTTTTATTGCCAATGAAGGAATTTTCTCTTTTGAAGTTTATTTTTTGTATTGAATAATTTTATAGCAACTTATGAATGATTTATAGATACTATTTACCAAAAACATAAAGACATAAATGTAGAAATGCTCATTGATAACATGTTGGTCAAAAGTCGAGAAGAAGAAGCTCTCGTTGTCTATCTTTTCTATGCATTTTAACCCTTTATAAGTACATAATGAAGCTCAAGCTATCCAAATGTTTATTCTGAGCCCATTTTGGCAAATTCCTAATGGTCTCATATTAAGGAATCTGAATCAATTCAGACAAGGACAAAGCATCCTTGAGATGCCCTGTCCAAGGATTGTTCGAGAAGTTGATAGCTGATAGGGAAGCTTACTAGCCCGAGTTGTTTTTCCTCCTGCTTAGGGAAAAACCATGTACTATTTTTCAAAGCTTTACAGATGTCAAATTAGTTTAATTGGGACAACAAAAGTGAGACAGTTTTTCAAGTTCTCAAAGCCTATCTCACTTCTATCCTTATTTTGAGTAGCTATCGACTTGAAAAAAATCTTTTCCTTTACTTGGCCATAGCTGTCATGGCTGTCAGCTCAATACTTGTTCAAGAAGAAAACTAAAAATAACATCCTATTTACTACTATAAAACTCTCTCAAGATCTGAGTTTTGAACTATCCCAAATATCAACAAACTTATTCTTTCTCTAGTCCCTCCCTTTTAAGGAGTCA